GGTGGAGGAATAGTTGGGCCTATTGGACTTCATCCAATTTAACATACAGGTGGACCTAGTCATTTGGGCTTGAGTCTGTTAGAATAATATCAGGGTAGAGATTTGGATGATAAGTCAGCTTAGAGGTAGTTATTTTGTTAGATTTGTTGTTCTGACAGCTGGTACCTGTTTATATATAATTTGTACCAAATTCCTTAAGAATTATCTAATGAATGAATGCACGTTTTCTATACCTAAATCTCTCTATTTATGAAATCCCTAAATTTCTTCTATATTCTTAGCCTAAAACACAACATGATTATGGTGAAACATTCTCTCCAGTTTCCAAACTTGTCGATGTTCGTGTAGTTTTGGCTTTTGCTTTGATGCATGCCTGGCCTTTACATCAAATGGATGTTTATAATGTGTTCATACAAGGGGATTTATATGAGGGTGTGTAGGCTACAAAAATATCTTTCCGAATAGAAGCAAACTTCACGACAATGGAACATGAAGTTAACTGAAGCTTTGCTAAAAGAGTGGTATCAGTAATGTATATATGATTACTCACTGTTCACTTAAGTAAAGGGTGAAAGCATTGTTATTCTTCTTGTGTATGTAGATGATTTGCTTATCACTGGTGGTGATGAAAGTCTGATTGCAGAATTGAAAGAGATTTTGAACAGAAGCTTAAAAAATGAAGGATTTGGGAGATCTAGAATATTTCTTAGGTTTTATGGTTCTTTGGTCCAAAGAATGGATCATTTTAAATTAGAGGAAGTATGCACTAAAGTAAATAGTAGATATTGGTTTGGGTACTGTAAGACTTGCTCCAACTTCATTGGAGCAAAATAAAAGGTTAACTTCATTCACGTATGACAAGGGTTAACGCATAAGTGAAGAAGAGGACATTATGCTCGAAGACAAGACAATTTTTCAATGGTTAGTGGGAATATTGATATATCTTACTCACACAAGGCCTGACATAACTATCACTGTATTCGGATTGGGAAGTATGTCCCATGACTAGGAAATCTGTGACTGAATTCTGTATTAAGCTCGAAAATTCACTTATTTCTTTCAAATCAAAGAAGCAAAGTACGGTTTCCCAATCTTCAGCCGAGGTAGAGTACATAAGTATGGATGTAACAGTAATGGAAATAACATGGCTGTAAGGATTGTTGAATGAACTTGGAGAAAAGAAAATGAGAACTGCGATAATGAAGTGTGACATCAAAATGACACTCCAAATAGAAGCAAATCCAGTTTTCTACTGAGCACATAGAGATTAACTGTCATTATTTTCAAGAAAAAATTCAAGATGGAAGCATATAGGCTAAGCATGTTCGTTCGAATAAACAGTTGGCAGATCTGATGACTAAAGCCTTGAGGGTTCATCATCATGAATACTTGACTTCCAAGTTGACGATTAAAGATGTGTTCCAATCACCAACTTGAGAGGGACTGTTGAATGTTGTTAAGTTAATTTATAATTAGTTAGGAAGTTTTGTAACTACTTGTTAGTTAGTTAGTTAGTTAGTTAGTTGCTAGGATGCTTAGTGTATAAATACTATTAGTAATCCTACTTGTGATAAGTGGAGAAACTACCCATTTAATCATTTGTTTTCTTGAATATTAACAAAATATTGGTCGTGTTAGCGTGAGTTTAATAAGAAAAAAAGATTTATAAGCTTTTCACTATTTTTTTCATTTTTTTTATTTCTTCTTCGAACCTCCCATAACACAAAGGAACCCACTTTGTATAGCAAAGTTTTCATCCGAGATTTATGAAGGCGAGATTATTATTTTGCATCCCTAAAGCTTCGAATTAAGCCTCATATCTCTATTAAATAAGTTGTAAAGCTAGAAGAACATTCAAGTGCAAGAGAAAAGGTGATAGTAAGGATAGTTAAATAAAATAGCTTCATTTTGAGGTTATCCAACAATATAGTGTATTTATAATCTTATATAATGTCACAAACTTCGTAAATATAATGTTTCGAACTTGGTTTAACATTTAATCATATTTTGAGTGTTATTCATGATTTACGTAGTGGTAGATTTAGAAATATTTTTTTAGGGTGAGCACACATATATTGAGGTAAACTATGCATTTAGTACCTAAACTATTAGTTTTAGTTCGTTTTAGTACTTAAGCTTTCAGTTTTTTCAAAATCATACCTAACGTTTAGTTTTTATTTCATTTTAGTACTCCACCGTTAAAAACTTAACGCATTTAGTACCTAAACTTTCAATTTTTTAAAATTTTAATGTTAAATTTTGAACGGAATACGAAAATGAAGCAAAAACTAAAGTTTTTAATGGTGGGGTACTAAATTGAAACAAAAACTAAACTTTAGATATAATTTTTAAAAAAAAATAAAAGTGTAGGTACTAAACATGTAATTTACCCTATATATTAACCACAAATTGTTTTATATGAAATGAGCACAAATAAAATTTAAAGATAGATATAATCAATAAAATAAGTCACTAATTAAATTTTTTTTATTTGCCCACATAACTTAGGTGCATCCACCCCTGGATTTATGACTTGGGTGTTGAAATGATTTTAAAACATGTGTTCTTATGATGGTAAATTACCCTATGTAAGTTTGAGTGATCGATTTGGGCCTAAAATAGAATGTTTATAAGGGTTTTGGAGCAACTCTCAAGCTTAGAAATAATAATTATGAGCTTAGATATCAATATTTGGAGAACAATATCAATAATACATGAATTAATGAAAAAATTAGAAATTTTAGCTAAAATATCAAAACTGTTCTTAGGAGTATCAATATTATTCGTATATTATTAATGTCGAGGGTTGTGTATTGATACCAGAGAACTTCAAGGTATTTGTTTTGGGTATTGATACTCTAAACTTATTATAGATACCAATAAGTGAGTATCGATATTTCAATGCATGTACTCCTTGTTTGAGTATCCATACTATTCGTTTGAGTATCTATACTCCTTAAATCTATATCCATACTCTCCAACGTCGAAAGATTTAAAAATCTCTCATTACACCCCGAATATCTATTAATTACTATGAAAGTATAAACAAGCTTCGGAAAGAATACCCTTAAACCCTTAAATGGAGTATATAACCAAATTATTCTTGATAGGTAAGAATCTTTAAAAGTGCCCTTAAATGTACTCGTATTAAAAAAAAATGATAAATTAATAATGTGTAAGCCATTTATCAAGTCAAATGGAAAATTGAAAGAAGAGTGAGATTGAATTTGAGTAGTACTGATTTATTAAAGAATAACCATCTTCAATTTTTTTAATAGATGTCGTTAGTGTTATTAAAAATGAAAATATTCAAAATTATAATAAGAGTTTACAACTATCATCGTAAATTAAATACATAAAAAATTAAAACTAGTTACTTTAGATAGTATAAGGACCATACGTGATAAAATTAAAAGCCCAATCAGAAGACTCGAATGAAAAAGATACGAACAAATTTGACTGCATTGACAAATAAACTACAAAAGAGGATTGAGCTATTGAAAGACCAATGAGAACTGCAAATCAGATCCGAGCGTTATGAGAAATTATCTACGAACGTAAAATCACGTATCCAAATTCAATTTGAGGGTCAATAGCAAGGAAGATCAATATGATTACTAATAAGTGTCATCTTTGATCAGTCATGACGTTGTCAAATTCAATCATGAGAAAACAAAAAATAAAAAAGCTCAAACAATCGAGAAAGATGAAAAGCGTACCACAAAGACAGAGAAAAACGTGTCTCAAACGCAGAGGAAAAACGTGCTACAAAGACAAAATTATTTTTAATAAAAAAATAAAAAATAAAGAAAAAGATAACCAACGATCGATAATCAGCATCAAAACTGTGTTTTCGCCGGTTAAACAAAATCAAAGAAAAAAAATTATATGATCTATAGAAAATGACACAAATTTTAAGAATAAAATGAGAGAGTAACTAGGGTTGAAAAAAATAACCATCCTCAAATTAAGTATTATGATAAAAGCATTATGATCATGTGGATAATAATAATAATATTTAATATATTATACGCCATAAAATATTAAAAGATTAAATTACCTTCACATAATATCATAGATAAGAGAACATGTTATGTAATGAAATGATGAGAGAGGCACGAATCAATTTACTTTAATGGTTAAAGGAATTGTTGTTGTTCCTAGAGATTATGGATTTGAGTACTAACGGCTGTTGCAAGGTGATTGAACGTTCATTGTCAAATGGTTAAGAGTATTTAGAACATATATATTGAAGATATCCTATTTTGCTAATTAATTGTTCCAATGGTATCATTGATTACAATTTGTTTAATACAATCAGACATGAAAAATCATGGATTATTTATCGACAAAGCCGCTTGTGCCATGCGCTGTCATATTTGCCTCGCAGTTGGTATAGTGAACTTTAATTCTTTGGTTAGCCCAAATGATGTTTTGTTCTTCGTTGAACATCAATCCGATTGAACAATTATCTTCCTTATAATTCGTGATTCCATTGATAATAGAGATAGCGTACAATGATCGTGTTTTGTCATCGTTTTCAATAGCAAACTTTATGCATTGGATAAACGCTTGTGCCTCTGTAGATTCTGCATTGAAAGGAAGTTCGATTTGTTTTCTCATGCCTTCAAGGACAAGTCCGTTATGGTCCCTTGCCACCACCCGTATAGCTGCCGTGTTGGATCCGGCTTGAAAGGCCGCATTCATGTTAACCTTAATCGTGTTTGGCGTGGGTTTAACCCACCAATGTTTTCTTCGTGTGTTATCGTAAGGCCTTGGGTTCATGAAGGAAGAATTGGCCAATTCGAACTCAGAGCATCTTGTGAAGATGGCCTTGTTAATTTGGGCAAAAGATCATTGTAAAATAGAAAGATGGGAACTTTAATTTATTTCCAATAGACAAGAAGAACACTCTAAAAGAAAATCCAGCCCAAATTCCAAAATCGTGGCCTATATAGTCTGATTTTGTGAAGATTGCCTTGTTAATCTGGTCGGACCCTATCTCCTGACAACCAAAATAAAATTCTCAGTTGTACTTTTAAAACGTTAATCCGCAATCATGGCTCCTGCAAAACTCAAATATTAACTAAACAACTTGTATAAGCACCAATTCACCGACACGATCTACCAAAAGAAAAAAAAATGGCGGCCAATTTCTGGACTTCTTCTCACTTGTAACTACCACATACCAAACTTCTTTCACTGATTTTGCAATCCATCGCATGGGTTTGGATTGCTTCAATATTTGCGTTTTTTATGCCTTCTTCTTCTTCTTATTTGATTTGATTTTGTTTTTGCAGTAAACAGCTTTTGGACCCGGAAGAGGTGGATGTTGTACCTCAGCAAGATAAAGATAAAGGCATCACTCTTGAAGAATTTAAGCTCATTAAGATCCATATGGCGAATTGTATGTTCTCTTTCTCTCTTACCCTTTTTGTTTTTGTAAATTTGGATTTTCATTGTGAATCTTATAATCTGGGTATTTGTTATTTATTGGTAATATCGGATTTTTTTGGCTTAAAAAGTTGAGTTTGGTTTTGGGGTTTTCTTCATCTTTTGAATCTTCAACCTGCAAGTTACAATCTATGGGAGTTTGTAACTTTTGCATCTTGGGTATTCAAAATCACGAGCATTTAATCATCTTAAATTCTCGAATTGTCATGAAAATGAGAATTTTTGGATTTGTTTGCTTCAAATTGTCGCCAGGGGATTGTTTCATGAATAAGAGGGTCCTTCAGTTTTTAATATTAGATTTAATGTTTGCTTCTAGCATGGCTGTCAAACAAGTTCGTCAAAAGAAGAAAATTTGTAATTCCATAATTTCTTTTCTGAAATTTACTTTGAGGCCTCTCGGGGCTTATTTTTGTAGTTAGAGACATAATTTAAAAGGAAACCAGTAGTGTTTTGGAATGCATTTTGCATGCAGATATGTGCCTAGCTTAATTTGATTGAACAAACCTAATAGCTTTGTTCTATATTACTTCCGGATTAAAGATTGTGATTTTTTGCCTTTTTCCCCCTTCCCTAGATATAATGAAACTGGCTCAACATGTTAAAGTGAGGCAAAGGTTTGATCTTCTCTCTCTTTTTTTTTAAAAGAAACGCCATTCTGTTTATTTAATGATTTCAGTGATGTCATCAAATTTTTTATCTGTACATTTCCTTTCAAAATTGTGTATGCTCCTGTGGTTTTTTCATGCTAACAGTAACAATGTTTAATTGTAGCAACTTTTGGTGAACATGGACTAGTTTGACTGCTGATGTGACTAATATCTCTGTTTCATTCGGCTGATATAGTATGTTTATTCCTGCCTCATAGTGATACCCTATAATGAACTTGACTATCTAAGGGTGGATCATCTATTTTCAATTACTTACTGTTATTCTGCTGGGAAGCTTAAAAAATGGGGAAACAGAGGCTCCTCATTATGTGCCATGTATATCTGTTTGAATGTTGTTGTTGATTTTAGCTGAAAACTGATTATCACATGCTCATGCATGGACACTCATCCGGAGACCTCTTATATTAGTTAATCCAATTATTAGTCCATGTATAGGCATTTTGTTTGCTATAACTGTCATCCTAACACAATAGCTTCAGAAAATAGTTGGTTACAAATTGTGTGGAAAATTGTAGCAAGTAGTCACCCGAAGTGTGTTAACTGCAAGGTGTTCTTAAGATTTGTATCCTTTATATGATAATATGCGTAAACAGAGTTAATTTCTTTCGTTTGTGAGGCAATTGTTTCCTGAAAAAGCATTGCATCTAGCTGGTTTCTTTGCTCAATGAACCGATTATAAATCGCCATCATCACGAGCATGATGCACAAAAATTACTTTGCTGGTTCAGTTTTCACATTGCTATAAGCCTTAAGTCATGGTTGATATTTCAGGGTTGTGGCAACTGCAGTTACATATATGAGACGTGTCTACACCAGGTATTTTTCCTAGTTTAGTTGTCTTGTACTTTCATTGATTTTATTTTTTACTCGAACTATGAATTTATTTCAATTTCTCAAGACTTAGTGATTCCTACTTTATGCAGTTTTCTCTATATCTTTCCATCCTCGAGGCTAAATGATCTGCTACTTATTATAAGCCATTCTTCATAGTCACATCTTGATAATTAATTTTCCCATGTAAATTTACACTTGTAATTATTTTTCCTACCCTGCAACCATGAATTATTAGATGGGGAGAGATGCATTGAATGTAAATATGTAGAAGCTTTGGTTTTCCTCCATACAATGGGTTATGAACAACTGCTCATGGTTTCTAATCTGTCTTACAGAAAGAGCATGACTGAATATGATCCACGCCTTGTTGCTCCTAGTTGCTTATATTTGGCATCCAAGGCAGAAGAAAGCACAGTGCAGGCTAAACTTCTTGTATTTTACATTAAAAATTATGTAATTACTTGTACCTAAGCTGGTTGGTTATCCTTTAAATTTCTTGATTTTTGTTTGTTTACCGCAATTTCTGCCATATTTGCTTTGTAGCTGCTGATGAAAAGTATAGATGTGAAATCAAAGACATACTTGAAATGGAAATGAAGATCTTAGAAGCACTTAACTATTATTTAGTTGTATTTCATCCTTACCGCACATTGTCCCCGTAAGTTTTTATCTTCTTTCCCATAATTTTTATTTGTATTTAATTTGCTGGACTTTTCTTGTGCATGGTTACCAATTTATTGTTGGAATAGGAAAGAAATAAATGGTGGAATAATGAAACCGTAAATTTTGCCTTAATAAGTCAGATCACTGTTGAGATCCAAACCTGTAAGGTCATTCTATCTATTATTTTGTCATGCTCTATGTCTAGTGCATGTCTTATTTTCCCATTTTTGCCATTGCACTTCTAAATCTTTCACATTTCCCTAGTGACATGATTGTGTCAATTATTTGATATTGATGCATTTTTTTCTTCATATAATTAGGTTCGCATTTAGTAATTACTTGTTTTATATTGTAGAGATGCACATTTATGATATACTCCCTATTAAACATTTTTAATGAACGTAAACTGAATGCAGCCTTATCTGATAATCTAAAGTTGATCTGCGACTTTAAGACGACACGTCTTTCCCAATACCAAATACATTGGAACTAAGCTACTTTAGATTATTTCAATATCGTGCTTTCTGCTAATTATTATTGGGATTTTTTTTCCACCTGTGAATGTATCTTGTGCCTGTTACCTTGGCAGGTTGTTGCAGGATGCTGGCATGAATGATACAAATATGACTCAGATATCTTGGTAAGTATCAAAACTCCATCATCTGTACGTTTTGAAGTTAAAATATTTAATGCGTGTCTGAAAAATGCCTAAAAAGTCCGAGTTTTTCCCACAAGTCTTAAACTTGAAAAGGAGCTGCCGAAAATATTGTCTTTGGCTTTGCCGACTATGTGTGGACGATGTTGCCTTTAACCCGACCTATGGAATTAAATAGGATCATATTTGTGCTATAGTCCATGTAGGTTATCTTGTGGTGACTATTCAGCAGTATTTATTGAGAAACTGAGAATGGTAGTTGGTTGAGATAGAAGTTTGAATAGTTGTGGTTGTGAAAACTCGTTTATTTTGAATATTTGTAGCTAGCTTTCCATTCCATAGCTACCACACTCGAGACTTGATGACTTTCGACACAACACAATTACGCAACACAAATATACTACATGAAAAAAATAACTAAAACACAAAAAAAATTAAAAAAATAATACGAACACGACATGAACAGATGAACATGTCAAAAATCTAAATTAATCATTGGTCTAAATTTGTCTTTTGGATTTCTCTTTTCTTCTTTTCTAAAGTTCTAGTTAACTGAATAAATATACTACACTTGGAATTTTGAAACACAGGGGACTTCTAAACGATACATACAAGATGGACCTTATTCTCACACATCCACCGTATTAAACTACTCAGTCATACCATGAAGCTATGGGAAAGGGTGATAGAGGCTAGGTTGAGACATGTTACTAGGGTTTCGAAAAACCATTTTGGCTTTATGCCAGACAGGTCTACTACGGAGGCGATTCATCTACTTTGACGGCTTATAGAGAAATATAGGGAAAAAATAGAGATCTTCACATGGCGTTCATTGACCTTGAGAAGGCGTATGATAGCGTTCCTCGCGATACAATCTGGAAGACCTTGGAAACGAGACGGATCACAACTGCTTATATCCGGGCGATTCGTGATATGTACTATAGATCTACTACATACGTCAGGACTACAGTTGGAGACACCAAGACATTCCCGGTGGAAATCGGACCCCACCAGGGATCGACTCTTAGCCCTTACATCTTCGCCTTGATTATGGACAACATCTATTGTGCGACTCCAGACGGTGTTCCATGGTGTATGCTTTTCGCTGACGACATTGTCCTAGTTGCTGAAATAAGAACTGAGCTAAATAGTAGACTGGCTACTTGGAAGACTGCTTTGGAAGAAAAAGGTCTAAGGATCAATATTGCAAAGACAGTATCTATGTTCAAACTTCAGTGGGAACCAAAACGATGAAGATGTAGAGGTATGCATAGAAGGACACGTTCTCCCCTTAACGAATTATTTCAAGTACTTAGGATCTGTGATACATAAATATGGGGGTGTGGATGATGACGTTACACACCGTATAAAGGCGTGATGGCTAAAGTGGAGGGCTGCTACCGGAGTTTTGTGTGATAAGAAAGTGCCTCTAAAACTTAAGGGAAAATTTTATAGAATGGCAATAAGACCAGCGCTACTGTATGAATCAGAATGTTAGGCAATCAAGAAGGATCACGTAAGGAGGATGGAGGCCGCAGAAATGAGAATGCTTCGATGGGTATGTGGTAGGACTCTGTGAGACATGACACCAAACTCTGCTATTAGGATGTCATTGGGGGGGTGCCTGTATTCGAAAAATTGAGGGAGGGAAGACTACGGTGGTTTAGGCATGTTATTAGGTGACAACCGTCGGATGCGGTCAGAAGGGTAGAGTCGATTACAGTCGACGGTGCCAGAAGGAGAGGACGACCAAGGCGGAAGTGGGAAGACTGCTTGAGATATGATTTGAAGGATTTAGCCCTTACCGAGGACATGACCTCTGATAGGAAAGTATGGAGACTTAAGACCAGGGTAGCCGAGTAGTGCGGGTCACATCCATAGGGTGTATAATCTCTGTCTTCTTTTAATGCCTTTGTAGAAATTTTCATGACTTCTACTTTTTATACGTTTCTATCATTGGAATTTTTGAAGGCTTAGAACTAGGGTAGCGGAGAAGTGTTGCTTTAGTTTAGGTTTTAATCCATTCGACTTTATTCCTTCTCCTTGTTTGCTTTCGTTGACTTCTGTGTATCATTCACTTCATGTTTCCTCTTTTTAATTTTAGTCAGGTCTTACGTTTCTGTCTATATGCAGAGCTTTTTACGCATGGATTTATTTGCAGGGATTACATCCTATTACAGACGCGCATATGAAGACTGTTTCAACTATGTATTTATTTATTTATTTATACATGTATTGCATTTTATCTTCATTTTTAATTTTCTGACTGCCGGATGGACAGCCTATTACCCTACCTCCCCCTTGCCCCATTGTATATGGGAATAGGATTTTGTTGTTGTTGTTGTTTGTGGGGGCCAAATAAAATTTTTAAAAATTTTAGGAGCCTAAATTATAAATATTTCAAAACATAGCCTTCTTGTGTTCCACCTCTGCTAATTACGGAACTGCATTTCATGTATTTCTTAAAGTTCAATGATGCATAAGTAATAAGCCTAACTTCTGTATAAATTGATTGATCCACAGAACATTGAAACAGGCTCTGCAAATTATTGCAAGACTCAAATATCAATTGTTGAATGGAAGTTTCTTAAATAGTGATTAAAAATGATAAAGTACACATAAAATAAAAATATTTAGTTAATCAAAACGTGTTTAATTTGATTAAAATCGAATACGCAAAACCGCCTGAAATGCGAGGTTAGATCTCTAATTTTGTTTTATCTTCGCATATTTGTTTGTCACATTCACGAAGACAGTATCTAACCTGCCTCAACTAAATCATTACAGGGAAAAGAAAAATAACAGAGAAGACACAATATCCAACCTGCCTCAACAAAATCATTACAGGAAAAAAGAACAGTAACAGAGAAGACACAATATCCAACCTGCCTCAACAAAATATTATTTTTCTATAGTAAATGTTAATTTTATTATTTAAAAATTTGTAAAAAATAATAATTTAGGTAGCATCCAATATTAATATTTTCAGTAGAAAAATAATGTTTTAAGTAGTGTTCAATATTAATATTTCTGATAGAAAAAATAATGTTTTAGGTAGCGCTTTACCAGAAATATTAAAAAAATAATAACATTTTCGGTAGCACATTTCCTTAACTGTATATTAAGGTTGTCGCACCTGAGGCATCCAAATAAATTGTGCTTTTCCTTTGACGATGGTTTGTAGCAGGTTAAATATTGAGAGATGTCTTAGGTGCGGCAACCTTAATATACGGCTAAAGAAAGATGTCAAAAATGTTATTATTTGTTTAACATTTTTGGTAAAGCGCTACCTAAAAAAGTATTTTTCTACCGAAAATGTTAATATTGGGCTCTACCTAAAATATTATTTTTCTATTGGAAATGTTAATTTTGGGCGCTACCTAAAATGTTATTTTTTCTACCGCTCTTTAAATAGAGAAATTAACATTTCTAGTAGAAAAATAATGTTTTAGGTAGCGTTTTACCAGAAATGTTAAAAAAATAATAACATTTCCGTAATGCTTTTCCTTAATTGTATATTAAGTTGTCGTATGACAGAACTACCGACAATTTCTATAAATATATTGATAATAATAGCATGTATGATAGGATATTGAACTAATAGGCTTGTCGACGAATTATTTTTGAATCATTCTTATACTATTTATTTATTTGTTAAATTTAGGGTAAATCATATGGGTGACCACCTAATTACATCTCTTTTTATGTTGACCATTATTTTTGAATTTTTGTCAATCAAATTACTCAACTATTTAAATGTATTCAATCATGTCATTTGTTATTAACAATTAATGGAAATGTTGACGTGACAATTAATAAATTGCCTTCGAGCATTTTTTGATACAAAATCATTGATGATAGTGTCGACATCAATGCTTTCCAATATATTTTTATCAATACATAACATATCATTTGAAAATAAAAGACCGATCTTATCAGGGGCGGAATTGAAAATTTATTATAGTGGAGGTTAAAATATTTTTTATTTTTCATAAATATACATTTTTTTAATTGAAGGGACCTGATAAAATTTCCTTTCTTTATTTTTCAAATATATATATATATATATATATATATATTTAATATTAATTAATACTTAAAAATAATTGTCGGGGGTAATGTTAATTCTTATCTAAAATTTGAAAATATATAAAATTCAAAAGAAATAATTTCAAAACATCATCAATTATATATATATATATATATATATATATATATATATATATATATATATAATCTTGATTTGCTCGTTTAGCCGAAATATATTATACATTGTTTAATTAATGAAATAAATGTTTTTAAAATATTTTATTAAATTATCATTCTATTAGATATATTAAATAAGTTTAACTTTCAAAATTAAATTAGAATATATTATTATCAATTATTTATAAAACTTTATTTATTAGGAAATCGTCAATCATATTGTCATGATATTTTTAAAGATTTAGTGATATAATTAAAATTAAAATTTAATATTATAATTTAGATAATCAAAATTTTAATAATAAAACCAATATAAATTCTAAAATTTAATAAAATTTACTCTAAAATATACATAGCATTACTAGATTAACAACTTTTTCTTGGATATCGTAATTTTCAGTGTGTCGTTTTCTACCGAATGCCAGTACCGGATCAAATCTTTCATCTTATATTGCAAAAAAAATATAATTTAAAAAGGAAAAACCAATTTGTACTGCTTTTATATTTTAAAAAACTTTGCTTCTTAAAAGTATAATTAATTGAATAAATTTTAATTTTATGTGACATAAATAATTTATATTAAAATATTATTTTATTAATAAAATAGAAAGATACATCTTAAAGAAGTATTCATTTAAGGGATTTATAAAACGCATTTTTTACTTCGTGTTTTTTATATAAAATTTAAAATTTAATTAAATCATTGAATTCCAAACATAAATCAAAATTATATAAAAGAATTAGATAAGATATTTCTTTCTCTGAACAAATAAGTGTTCATGTAAAAACTAGGGGTGCACAAAAGATATGTTTCGGTTGATCCGGTGATTCGATCAAAAAATTTGGATATGTGATCCGTTTTTTTTATTTTGTGGATAATTCGGATTTGATAACCGAAAAAATTAGATAATCGGATTGGATACAAATTAGATAAATTTCAATTTCAAATTATCTGAAAATCTAAAAAAATCGAGCTTTTAGATTTTAGATGCCCTTCAACCCATTAAAACTTTAACTCAATAAAAATTAGGATATTTAATTATTTATTGTGTGTGAGTAATTAAATATATATACAAAATATAGTAGAAGTATAGAATAAGTTACATTAAATCAAAAAAAAATATTTTTTTCAAATTTAAATTTAAATTCAGATTGGATACGAATCACTATTTTAGGTATCCAATTTTTCAAATATCTGAATTTTCGAATCGGATGGGATTCGATATTCGGAATTGTACACCACTAGTAAAAACACATCCTAAACAAGATGAATATTGTACAAACTTAGGCTGTAATAAAATGTTTAATTCTATTGTTATCTTTAAATTTAGAACTCTAATAATTAGACCAGTCATTGATATATCATATTTTTAATACACACTTTATTGAAATATACCATTTTAATATATCTCTATATAGGTTTTTTTACTTAAAAATCATTCAAAAAAATTATTATTTA